CATGAGATATATTTTATTAGCTCCCGATATTTTTCCTTTATAATAGGATCAAATTTCATCACTTTCAAGAACTTAAACTGTTCTTTTAATTTTATTTATAATTCAAAAATATTGTTCATGTTATAAAATAAAGACTTTAAAGTAAATAAACTGAAGAAAAGTATAGAGAGAGGTTGATATATTATTCAACTTCAAACTCATGTTCATAATGAACTGAAAACTCCTCTATTTATAGAAGAAAGGAAGCAGCTGCGAGGCTTTCCAGGAAGCAGCTGCGAGGCTTTCCAGGAAGCAGCTGCAAGGCTTTTCTTTAGCTTCTTGTAAGCTGTATGTATGAGCTGCTTGCAACCTGCCCATTTAATAAGAAGCTGCTGCAAATCATTTCATTGAGTTGCTTGCAACCTGCCTGCATCAACTGCTTGTAGATAAACTTCAACAGAGTACTAAATGGATAATCTTCTCCAGAAAGATTATCTATAGCGGAGTAATGAATGGACATCCACAATATAATATTTTTATAACACTCCCCCTTGGATGTTCATTAAAAGATAATGTGCCTCGTTAAAACCTTACTAGGAAAAACTCTGTGGGAAAAAATCCTAGTGAAGGAAAAAGAGCACACATATTTAGTAATACGCATAACTAGTTGTCTCATTAAAAACCTTATAAGGAAAACCCTGTGGGAAAAACCTTAGTAAGGGAAAAAGAGTACAACGCGTATTTCACTCCCCCTGATGAAAACCTTGTTCCAAATATTTGAGTCTCCGCATTCCAATCTTGTAAACCATCTTCTCAAAAGTTGAAGTTGGCAAAGTGAACAAATCTGCTGGATTGTCACTTGAACAGATATGTTGCATATCAATGTCACCATTTTTCTTAAGATCGTGTGTGTAGAATAATTTTGGTAAAATGTGCTTCGTTCTATCTCCTTTTATAAATCCTCCCTTCAATTGGGCTATGCATGTAGCATTGTCTTCGTATAAAATTATGGGTCTTTTCTCATATTTCAAACCACATTTTTCTCGAATAAAATAAATTATTGATCTCAACCATACGTATTCCCTACTTGCTTCATGAATAGCTATTATCTCAGCATGATTTGAAGAAGTAGCAATAATAGATTGCTTTGTGGAGCGCCATGATATGACAGTACCTCCATATGTAAACACGTATCCGGTTTGAGATCGAGCTTTATGTAGATCAGATAAATAACTTGCATCTGCATAACCAATATGATCTGCACCACCTTTGTTAGCATTAACAAGATATATAAGTGTACCAATTGCTCTGAGATCGAGTATTTCAAGACCAAGGAGTTCCTCATCCTCTTCTGGAGGTCAGAACGGATCCTTATTCACTTCAAGTGATCGAACACCCATTTGGTGTACTTAATGGGTGCGCTTTGTCCATGTAAAAGCATTTTAATACCTTTTCTGTATAGACAGATTGATGGATAAAGATCTCGTCTGCTAAATATTCAATTTGCAGACTAAGACAAAGTTTTTCCCTTTGGAGCTCTTCTGGAGTTCCTATAATATTTATGCCATTAACATAAACAACAAGTATAACAAACTATGATGTTGTTTTCTTTGTAAAAATGCATGGACAAATGCCTTCATTTACATAACCTCCATTCATCAACTCAGTGAGGCGATTATATTACATGCGCCCATATTGATTTAAACCGTACAAAGATCTTTGTACTCTGATTGAATGCATTTCACGATGCTTTGAACTATATGCTTCAGGCATTTTAAATCCTTTATGGATCTTCATATAGACTTAATCAAATTAGTCATATAGGTTATGCCTTGTATTTAAATGGCATGACATCTTCAGGTGTCTGGACTACAGGTCCGATCCTCACAATCTTTTACAATAATGTGAACTATATTGTATCAAATATATCGTCGACGATCGTTTTGTATCGGCTTGCAAGTGATATAACTTGTTGAGATCTCATCACTTTCTTTATTTTCAGGTACCTGAACTTCTTCTGGAGTTTCATGAAATGTTATGTCGTGGGCTATTCTAGAGCTCATTTCCTCCTCATTATGATCATTTGCTCCTATTCTTTTCAAGGATTGTTACCTTTGGAACCGATCGATTTACTACTCTTCATGCGTGCGTAAACTTTATCCTCCAGGGACTTTAATTTTAATAGGAGCATTTGTAGCTGAAATATAATATTTAATTTTGGATCAAAAAATGCTTCTGGCATTTGACTTGAATTATCTTCTAAGTGAGGATCATATTAATGATAATTCGATTCATATAGCATATTTTTCAACGGTTTATTCCATCCCCCAAATGTTAGAAAAACTAACACATATCTCCAATCTTCTTTGAAAAATCTATCTTTGTACATTGTGGTAGAGAAATTAATCATATACCACACATCAAAAGTTATTAGATAGTAAAAATATTTGGTTTCTGATCCTAAACCAATTGTGAGGGGAGAACTTATAATATTTTGTTAGTCTGATGCATACAAGTGCTGATGTATGCAATTTAGAAAATCTTAGACCAACGCATGAAGCTTTGTTCTCATAAGCAATAGCTTAGACATTAATAGGAGGTATTCAATGCTAAACTAGCTTTGATATAAACCAGCATCATCAAGATGAACTATCTTGATTTCATAATCTGAAAATTATGCTATTAATTGAGAAAGACAATTTCAAATGCCAAACTGCAAGTTGACAATAAACATACATGTAACCATCTTATATATGCATCTATAAGCGGTTCACATGATAGGTGAATGTGCCCATATTCACCTTTTATATATTCCAGAATTCGGGAATTTTAGTCTCAACTTTAGCTGGTATAATCAAGTTATTATGAGAACAAGCAACACAAGAGAATTCTTGAAGAATCTTCTAGTTTTTCAGTATATGCTTATCTGAATTCTCAAATAGCTCATTTAAAAATGGTAAATGAAAACTTCAAGTTTATCATAGCATGTGCTATCTCTAAATAAACTTCTGGTTTATTATGGCATAAACTTTTGCATCAGTAAACTTTTGATTTACTGTGGCTACTTTTGTATCAGTAAATTTTTGATTTACTGTGACTGCTTTTGCATTAGTAAACTTCTGGTATACTGTGATACATGATGTAGTACAAATTTGAAAAATAAGGCAGGTAACTTCTCACATACATATTTACCCCATATGATTGTGAAAACATGAAGATTTTCAATCTTTCAATCATTTGTAGTCTCAGTATGATAGTCATATGTATTAGTAAACTTCGTGTTTACTACAACATATATTTTGACCATAATCATATAATCTGAATGACATATTTGTATATAAGCTTATCGAGAACCTTCATTTATTATCCACAATCTAATATTTATCGGACACTACTGGTGTCATGTGTCTTCTAGACAAACAATTAGCTCTTCAGGAGCTTTTATTGTACTACCAAATATTGCTCAGACACTTCTGGTGTCATGAGAGAAAATCATAATCAAATGAACAATATAAAGCTAATTCTAAATTTATAAATGACGAAAATTAAGAATTTTAATATTTCTACCACTAACTTTGTGATAAATATCTCCTTCAAGGAGAAATATCATTAACATCTGAATATTTTGTATCAATACGGCAACCACATAGTCATTGCATATTTTAAGAAAAGATACACGAGTTGTTATTTCCTTCGGGAAACTTAATAACTAACCATAATATATTAATGTGGTTGTAGTAGAAAGCATTCTACAAGAATACTTTTGCCTTAGAATGATACTTAATAAAATTATCCAAGATGTTTTACGTATAACATGTGCAATGATCTTTATGCCAAAAAAATAATATTTATATCCTCTGTTATTCTAGCTCTTCCGGAGGTGAGTTGTGGTATTTCTTCATTCACTCCAGGGAATGAAAATGTGCTTCAAAAATAACTTTGAATAGCTCATTATATTATTTACGCACAGAAAGACACAGTTTCATAATATTTTCCCGCTTCGGGAGAAAATTTCAATTGTGTTACTTCTTTCGGAGCAAATTAAAATACGAAAAATTGAGTATATATTCTCTCAATCATATTACCTCTTCTGGAGGTGAATCGTAATATATTTACATCAATAGTGTGCACACATTTACGACTTTATTAATATTGTCACATTCACTTCAGGGAATGGATTAATGGAGTTTAAGTGGATCTAACAATGTTATGCACTTTGCAATCCTTTATTAAGATAATTAGGATGAAAACAAATACTAAAATAGGTACTGTATACGTAACATATAACCAAGCAAGCGATGATAAATATATTAAAATATAAACAAAAGGCTCAAATTAAATTACGCAAATTTGGCCACTCCATATGTAAGTAATATCTATATCACTACCGCTAAGAAGAAAAACTCATCACCTCAAGGATATAATCTGCCTTATGATGCTCGGAATGAACAAGATCTAACCATGGACATAAGAGTGTCGCCTTACATCAGAGATAAACACTGAAATAGAAATTAAATTCGAAGTAAGTGTTCAAAATGGCAGAGTCTCGTGTTGATAACGTGTTATAAAATAAAGGCTGTAAAGTAAATAAACTGAAAACAAGTATAGAGAGAGGTTGATATATTATTCAACTTCAAACTCATGTTCATAATGAATTGAAAACTCCTCTATTTATAGAAGAAAGGAAGCAGCTGCAAGACTTTTCTTTAGCTGCTTGTAAGCTGTCTGCATGAGCTGTTTGCAACCTGCTTGTTTAATAAGAAGCTGCTGCAAATTATTTTATTGAGTTGCTTGTAACGTATCTGTATCAGCTGCTTGTAGATAAACTTCAACAGAGTACTAAATGAATAATGAAGATTATCTATAGCAGAGTAATCAATGGACATCCAAATATAATATTTTCATAACAGTTCAACAATATTTATGTGATTTTCTTAAAATTATGTAATTGACACACGTTAATGCATACCCAGAAATTAGCAGAAAAAAATAACCTTTCAATCTGACAAAACTAATTGCCCACGACAGTCCAGCATAAATAAAAACCCTAAAATTCACGGTTTCCACTACACGACCTAGAACCATCCGAAACATTCCCCAAATTAACCAAACGAAGAACACATCGGTAGCTGACGTCTGGACCGGCGGAATCACAGGTAAGACCTTTTCCGTCACCCTTTTATGCTTTAATTAATCCCTTTCCCCTATCTTTCGGAGAATTTTGTCCGGAGCTTGTGGCTTCGTTAGCTGACGACGACGATTTTAGTTCTTCCTTTTCCTTGTAATTTCCCTCTTGTATTATTTATTTAATTCTAGAAACGGGAAACTAAAAGGAAAGGGGTAGGAGAACGGCGAGGCCCTAAACCCTGTTCTGGTTTGTTTAGGTCTTTCCATATTCTTATGTATCCAAACAAAATTAAGTAGTTTTTTTTTATTTGAGATGAAAACTCTAGCCTTTTCACAGTTGCTGTTGGTTGTTCAATCGTTGGAGCAAGTGTCTTCCAATCAACATCATGAGAAAACCAAGTAAGTCTTTTTGGAATTCTAGTCTCTTTTGTGATTTATCATTTTGTTATTCTTAAATTTTATGGCTTTATGTTATCGCTGCAACATCTTGCATCGACGTGGCCAGATGTGATGATGTGATGTTTGTGTTATCATATTCTTAATAGTTTGTGACTTTATGCGGCTTGGCAGACAGAGCTAACCCGAACCTCTATTAGAAAGTGCTCATCATTCTATGCATCAGCCAATGATAGAAACAAACCTCTAAATACTTTACATATATAGTTGAAGCGCCAATGCCGCTAACTTATGTGTGAATTCGGGCTCCTGTTGTGATCCATAGAAATCAAATAGGATTTTAGGTTAAGCAAAGGGTAAATGCTTCTTTACCTTCTAAGGTTATTGAGTCATAGCTCTTCTTGACAGTGTTTTGTCCTGGTCAAGAAGAGCTTTGACCAAAAATTTTACATCCCAATAACAGAACTAGCTTTTCCTTGGTCACCTTAAGAATGGAAGAGAACGAAAATAGTGTTCAAAGCCTTTTCACTTTAGGCTTTTTCTGGTCTAAAGAAAGTCTTGGCCTTTGAAGTACTGGTTGGTCTTTCAACTTGGAATGACTTGGAGTTGAGAGATTGAAGTGTTAGTTGGTTTGTCAATTTAGAATATCTTAGAGATGCAAGATATTTTGGTCCAGTTGCATCTCCAATTTAGTTAGTAAATGGTAATAGTAAGCTTTCGGCTTTGGTCTTTCCAACAAAATAACAAATCCAGAGTAGGCTTTGAGCCCCAACTTTGAGGCCAAACATAATTGGTCCAGTCTATGGGCAGGCCTAGCCTGCGTAAATTGGCAGTTAACATCATATGTATTTTGAGCTGGTAAGTATTCTCGCATATTCTGTTTCACAACAATTCCTGTTCGCACTCAAGTTTTCGTCATCTTGTCAGTACTTGATCGTCTTATTGACGCTGGGATTGGTACTATAGCAAAGTGTATAACTTCTAGCCTGAGAAGAAAAGATGGCATCTTGCACCACCCCGAGTTCAATCAATCCATTGCCGAATATGGTCAGGTAAATGAATTATTTTTTACTTATGCTGGAACTCGAAAAGCAAATTTCTAAAAGAAAAGAGAACTGTAGAAAGTTTAAAATAATTTCAAATTTAGCAAAGCTTACCTTGTTGTTGTAGTAGTAGCAAAGCTTTACCTTGGACAAACTAACTGTTAACACTTGCTATCTCTTTTTAATGGAATTCAGACATTCACCCGTAAGCGTGTTAACGAGGAAGATGCAATGCTGATAGGTGTCGATGTTTTCGTCCGTTATACGGTATTCAGAATTATTTTTTTGTTGATATTAATTTACTCTCAAAGTTTAGCAAACGACATTTACTGGATGCTTATTTTTAGAGGGACTATGATACTTATTTATTACTTTTTTTTGTTTGTTTTTAGGTGATAGGTTCTGGAGTTGTCGCTTTCATCTATCTTGTGAAAAGTCATTTCAACTGGCTGAATCAAAGTAAGTTGGAGATGGAGCGACGCAGGGTAAGATTCTTCCAAGAAGCCGAACAAAGAATGGAGCAAACCATGCAACAACATCAAATTTCCAAGCAAAGTATCATGGGAGGTAAAAGCAGGAATTGTACCCTTTGTGTATCTAGCCCACCCTTCAAAACAATGAAAAAAGCATTCGAGGACACCTATTATTATTAGCTGCTAGCGTAGATCATGATGTTAATTCCATCTTGTTGCATCGATCATCCTTATAAGGAAAAAAAAACTGTTATTTTGATCTGTTACATCTTATAATTGTCGCAGGCAATGCGCCAAAAGCTGCAGATGGAGCTCACGCCAAGGTAACGAAAGATGAAAAAACCATGACTGGGGCAGTTAAGGCTTGAAGAAGAATGACCAACATCTGAGGAAAAATTCTAAGCTAGGGAAAAAGAGGGGATGGATGATACTTCTTGGTATATTTAGCAATTTCCGCTTATTCTATTTATGCATACAAGTGAAGCCTCAGAGACCCAAAACATTGAGGTGAATTATTGCTAATTACCTACCTGCTGTGTTAATAGTACTATCTTCCCATTCTCATTGACTGAACTATTAGCTCTCTCTATCTTTCACCCACCACTCACCAAGTCCCCTCGTCAAAATCATTCGCAGCTCTACGCCTAAACAGCTCGCTTTATGTGTTTGTGGTCTGTTCTTGATAAATGTTCCGTATTTTGCTTTTGGTAAAACTTGGCTCCCTTGTAACTATCAGCTATTCTTCATTCGCTCCCGGTAAGACTTGGCATACTTTGTAACGCTTTCCTCGACTAGACAACTTTTGCGAGTTTGACGATGCAGTGGGTAAATAAACTTCTGCAGACTCATAATTTTATAAATATAAGCTGTGATAAAAGAAAGAAATCTCTCTCAATATGTGTGTATATATATATATATATATATATATATATATACTCTCCGTTTATTTTTACTTGTCCACTATTGACTTTAAACTCTCTTTAAGAAATAATAAATAAAGTATATAATTTACCATAATACTCATATTAATTGGTGTGCAATTTTAATAATTATTGTGCATTATAGCGGAGAAGTGAAAAGCATCATCAGCTTTCAATTGCTAATCGTGCCTTTCTTCTCCAACATCAAAGTGACGGTTATCTTGTAATTACTGCACTAACATTAATTATGGGCATGAACTTACCACCTTTCACATTCCCGGGTCATTATCTTATGTGTGGTAAACACTAATTAAAGCCGTCACCAACGATTCTTTTATCCCTATAAAATTCACAATCCCTAACCTCAATCATTCAATCATCTGAATTTTCTTCACTTTACTCTATTCGTATAGACGTTGGACTCATCACCAGTATCATTTGAGCAAAGCTCATTTCTGTAGACCTCTATTAATCCAAATATCTTGGATTGTCTGTTTAGTTTTCTAATGCATAACCATGACTAAAATTTTTAACTATGTAACCCCAATGATAAAAGTCAAATTGGACGTTGATTGATCACGCGCAAATTGATAAAAAGAGAGCAAATTTTCATGTAATTGAGGTATACAAAAATAATGAGATGAAGTATGTGCAATGTTGAAAGATCAAATAGCTTACACATGAAACATAAACTCTTGCCAACACAAATAGAGTTGTCGAAAGTCCAAAAGCTGAGAAAACGTTGAGCAAGATCAACAGTCATACTAGAGAAAATGTGAACATGGTTGTGATATTATATTTTCCATTCTTTTCTTTTTCTATTTATTTCTTTGTGTATGTCCTTTATCTTATAGTTTTACTATAAATATTTATTTGAGAGAAATAGAAAAACATATCAACTATATGAAATATAAGTATTAAGAGTTCATTCTAAGAAACAAAATAGTACATAATTTTTCATAATTATGCTAATATTACTTTGAGTAGGTTTTCCATTTTTATTATTATGAATCGTCAAAAGATTCACTAACTTATTCTCGGCGATGTAATCCATTTTTCTTTTTAGGTATATAATTACAATCTTTATTTTCATTTCTTATCCTTTTCCCTCATGAGATGCAGCTTTTTCCTTTTATTTTTTCTTTCTTAATTTGTGAAGGTAACATTGTAGGTTATTTATCTTCTATGCTCTAACTAAATATTTTAGAAAATTAATTAGAATTAAACAAGTAACCATATAAAATTGAAATCCAAAAGATTTTATTTTATAAAATTAAACTGAAAATAATCTTTATTCTCTATGTTTATACTTTATATTACTAGTCTCTCTGTACGCGCGTTGCGGGTATACCATTTATTAATATAATATAGATATTTCTAAAAATTGCATAAATGTTATTAAAAATATGTTTGACAAAAAAATTAATTAAAGAAAAAAGTGTACGATCTTGAAAATAATAATAAGCTAACTTAATAGAAGAAGAAACTAATACAAAAAAATATTAAAAAATGGTTCTACAAGAGTAGAACAATATTTTGACTTGTATTCATACTGATTGTATTAGTATTTCACCCCTTCTACATATAGTATTTACTTCTTTTAGTAAACCTGGAAATGATAGGTTTAATATTACAAACCTTAATTCATAGCTCTAAGAAGATAGAACTGTATTTTTAATATGAGGAATATCGCAATTATGACAACATGGTACGGTAAATCTAAAATTTCACCGGTTATAGTTACATTAACAAATATAAAAAAATAAATTAAAAATATATTGTAAATTCTTTTTTTTAATATATCATTTTTTAAAAACTAAAAATATATAATTATCTTATGATCAATATATTGAAAGTAATATCTATCACTCATGGATTAAAACATCACACATTTATTGATAAGGCTGCATAGTTTTTTGTTAGTTGAAGTTGTATATATATGCTTATCAGGAAGGAGGATATATAACATTTTATACCTCCTTCTGTTATTTTGGGTGATGGAATCACAATGTTGTATTATATATATATTTTTGGTCATATGTTGTGTTATATCTGAGATAAGGTTCAAGCCCTTTCATTGCACCTTTTTGGAATGCAACACCACCCAGACTTATATCTTGGTAAATTTATGAGGAAAAAAAATTGAATTGCATGTATTATTTTAAATAGTATTGGAAGGTTAAAATAAAAATTTAACCACACAATAATTTTACACCAACAGAATAATCTAGGTTACTTAATAAAAGTTTATTGAATAAGTAATATTTACCTTGCAAAATAAATTAATACGTTTATAAAATAATTTGCAATTATATGGTAATTCTTCTGCTTAAATAACTATATTGGTTCGAAACACATCTTGCTTTGAGTGAGTCTCTTCGACCGAAAACAAAATCTCTTCGATTGGACAAACTCCAGTGTTAATTATTTTCAGCCGAGCTTTTCAAGTCCATATTCTGCAAACACCGAAGATGGTAGTTCCTGACTTCTTGCTTCTTGAGTGCTTATAGAAAGACCGATAGCAATCACATGTAATGCTATATTCGTCTGTCTCCGATTACAACTACACAAGGCCCTTCTCTTCAATGCTTTAACTAACAACGGTTCATCATAAGTGTTATAGAGTGGTTGGAACAGAAATGGTTGTTCCCAACTTGTTCGTTTTGCTGGAATTTTCCAAGTGCTAAAATTTTCTAGTGTTGAAATTTCTCTCAAGTGCCGTAAACTCTTTTGACGTTGGAATTGTTTCAAGTCCTGAAAATTACACAATGATCTAATATTTATAAGGAGTGGAAAAATAACTAACGCACCTTTCTATGAAAGATGCATCCTTTAGAAAAGGATGGCACCTTTTACCAATATTATTTAGTGTTTTATTTAATTATTTTTGTTATTAAATATAAAAGTATGTTACTAAAAGGGTATTTTAGTCTTTCAACTTTCTAATTTAGAATTTTATATATATATATATATATATANTGATATTAAACAAAGTGCCAAGTTAATAAAAAATCACATAAAAACGTGATAATACTATATATTAGATAACATAATACCAAAAATATGGAAAAAGATTAAGAAATGGATGGGAAAGAACTTGAAACTAAAATACTCTTAAAGTTAGATGAGAACGCTTAAACTATGGAGGACCACGAAAGTGTTACTAGATAAAAGAAAAATAAAATCTTGATAACAAATTAAAATTTAAAAATATAAAATAAATGTCGAGTATAGGTAACTTTACTAATGAAAATTAAAAATTAAATTTATATCTTGAAACTAATAGAGAAAGAAAATTTAATGGCACATAATACAAAAGCTAATCGAAGAAAACTCAACAGATTTGGAACATAACAATGAAAGAACTTATGTATTAATATCTTAATCATAGATAAAATATTAATGCAATAAACTAATTAAAATTTTATAGCAGGGAAGAGAATATATAAAGAAAACAATATTGATAGTGTGAGGATACTTATACTTTGAATTAATTTAAATAAATAAATTAAATAATTGGATAATATAATATTATTGATATATTTAAATGATAAAAGAGTTTTGAGTAAGATGATAAAGTATAAAAATACATTAAATTTTAATAATTAAAAAAATTATATTTATCAATGATTATGAAAAGGATAATAATCAAGACATTAAGTCAGATGATAAACTAATAAAAAGTCATATAAGAGTATAACAATATTAAGTAATAATAATACAATAACTATAAGCAAAGAACAAAAAGAGAACAAAAATGTAAAAGAATAAGACATATTTAAACTTGAGATGTAACACAAAGTGGTAGTCTGACCAACGATATTGTATGTGGCGGAGTGTTGACACCAATTAAGATCGCTCATGTCCAGAAGATGAAGGTAGTAGAGATGAGGAGGTTGCGATGGATCTGCGGGCACACCAGGTTAGATAGGATTAGAAATGAGATTATTCACGATAAGGTGGGTGTGGCCCCATATTCATGAGAACAAGATGCAAGGAGGGCTTAGGCGATTTGGGCATGTGAGGAGGAGGAGCACAGACGCCCCGGTGAGGGAATGTGAGAGGTTGACATTTGAGGTACTACAGAGAGGTAGAGGTAGGCCAAAGAAGAGGTGGAGAGAGGTAATTAGACAAGACATGTCGCAACTTCAGCTGATCGAGGAAATGACCTTTGATAGGAAGGTATGTAGGTCGAGGATTAGGGTAGTAGAGTAGGTAGTCTAGAGTGTTCATATGTAACGATCCGGCCGGTCGTTTTGATAATTTAAGTTCCGTTTGGCGGCATAAGGTCTTGTACAACTTCATATTATGTATATCGACTTGCGTGCGTGGTTGAATTCAGTTAACGGATGATTCAGAGTCGAATTAGAAGAAGGATTCTAGTTTTGGAAGCTTAAGCGGTGAGAATTTGACTTTTGTGTAAACGGCTCCGGAATGGATTTTGGATGATCTCAACAGATTCGTATGGTGATTTTGAACTTAGGCGTACGTTCAGATTTGGATTTGGAGGTCCGTAGGGTAATTTGAGGCATTTCGGCGAAAGTTGGAAAAGTTGAAGTTTGGAGGATGGAGAGGTTTGACCCATAATTGACTTTGGTGATATCGGGGTCGGAATGCGATTCCGAGAGTCGGAGTAGTTCCGTTATGTTATTTGGGACTTGTTTGCA